ATGTTCCTTTAAATTTAAAATAAAACATTTACAACCAAAGATTTTGAAATATCCAACCGTAGGTTTTTTTATCAAAAATCAGTTCATAAGATGTCTTATTCAAAATGGGTCTCAAAAGGATTCTGTTCATCACATAACATGCAGTGTTTACCGCTTCAGCCCAAAGGTATTTTGGCAAGCTACATTCACTTAACATAGTTCTAGCAGCCTCTTGTAGTGTCCTATTTTTCCTTTCTACAACACCATTTTGTTGTGGAGTTCTTGCAATTGAAACTCATGTGTTATGCCATTATGATCACAGAAATCTGGAAAACCACAATGAAGTGAAGCAGATTTTTAAGCCTAACACTTCTAATCCTAACAATTTTTAAGCCAAGCAGATTTTGCACTTTAGCAAACAATGAAGTGAAATTCTTGAAGGCATCATCCTTATGAGCAAGAAATATCACCCAAGTATATCTAGAATAATCATCCATAATCACAAAGCAGTATTTCTTACCTCCCAAGCTAGTGATTTGAGTAGGACCAAATAAGTCAAATGCAAGAGTTCTAAAGGTTTAGAAGTTGAAACACACTTCTTTGGTTTAAAAGAAACTTTTGTTTGCTTTCCAAATTGACATGCATCACAAATTTTATCCTTTTCAAAACAGATTTTTGGCAAGCCTCTAACCAGCTCCTTTTTCGAAATTTTCTTTAGTAAATCCATGTTAAAATGACAAAGTCTCCTATGCCACAACCAAGGATCTTCATTTGAAACTTTAAGACATTTGAAGCTAGAAGAATCAATTTTATCAAGAACCACAATATATATGTCGTTAAACCTCTTACCTTTGAACACAACATTATATTTGGAATCAAGCACAATGCATTCATGCTTTTTAAACAACACATTCAAGTCTTTATCACACAATTGACTAACACTAAGCAAGTTATAACCTAAATTATCAACTAAGAGCACATTATGAACAAAAGTTTCACCATCCTTACCAACATCACCTATTCCAATTGTCTTAACTTTCACATCATCACCGAATGTCACCTTTCCACTTGATTTTGATTTTAGCTTTATGAACAAAGAGGGATCACCGGTCATATGCCTTGAGCAGCCACTATCAATAAACCATTTGGACTTGTTTGAGCCTTTTTCCTGAAAAGAGAAAATGTTTGGTACCCTTTTTAATTTTTGGGTCCACAATAGTTAGCATTGTATCTCACTAACCATATGCATTTCATCCCTTTGTTCAGATTTCTTTTCACATAGCAATCACCTTTCAAATGCCCTTTTTGACAACAAAAATCACACATAATGGAAGAATCCTTAACATGTACTGGTTTGACATATCTCAATCCATTTTTTCTATATGTTGTGAAACCATGTGCATTTTTGTTGCGTGCTAATGTTCTTTGATGAGCAGTAAGAAAGGTAGATGACATGTTCTTTTTGAGAAAATCTTGTTTTCTTGCTTTCAAAGTCTCATCCAAGTTGTCCATTCTTTTCTTCAAATCACCATGTCTTTCCTTCAGCATTTTACAAATATTTGTCTTTCTATCAAGTTCATTTTGAACATTAAATCCGGCTCTTACAAGACAATCATTGTCAGTCTTTAGTTGTTTATTTTGTTGAAGAAGACTTGTATTTTCATGAATGAGAAAAGTAATTTTCTGTTTTAGCTGCTTGTTTTTATCATAAGATTCCTTCAAGGCATTATGCAGTTTTTCAACAAAGGATTCAAGATCATCATCTTCTTCATCATCACTTTCAGATTGAGAGTGTATGGAAGTTACCTCATTATCTCCAATAGCCATGAAGACCATTTGAGCTGATTCTTCCTCTTCTTCAACTTCCCCTTCAGAGTTGCATTCATTCCAAGTAATCTGGAAGTTGTTGAATCTTGGCTTTCGATCAGCTTTCCCATCTTTCATTTTCTTCATGGGGCATTCGTTTGCATAGTGTCCAGGCTGTCCACATTCATAGCATTTATCCACTAGCTTCTTGTTGAATTCTTGTTTTCCTTTGTTCCTTGCATTTGATGAATAATTTTGAAATTGATTGCTAGGTCCTCCCTTTCTAAACTTCCTTTTATTCAAGATTCTCTTGAAGCCTCTTGTGATGAAAGCAAGATCATTATCATCACCATCCGAGTCTTCATCATCCAAGTGTGCTGGATCATCTTCACTTTGAGTAGTCTTCAAAGCAATATTTCTCTTTGCTCTAGCATCCTCTTCCTCCTGCACTTTAGATTTCAATTTCAACTCATAAGAAGTTAGTGAGTTAATGAGAGATTCAATAGGCACAGAATTTAAATCCTTAGCCTCCTCTATTGCAGTCACTTTATTTTCCCATTCTTTGCCCAATGCATTGAGAATTTTCCTGTTCTTCTCTCCCAAGGTGTACTCTTTGTCCAACACCTCGAGATCTTTGATCAAGTCATTGAACCTGCAATACATTTTGTCAATATCCTCAAGAGGTTCAATTTTAAATGATTCATACTTTGTGACCAAGATAGCCTTTTTCTGTTCTCTCACGTTGTCACCACCCTCATGGATTTCTCTTAGCTTATCCCACATTTCTTTGGCCGATTTATAGCCTTTTACTCTAATTGATTCATTTGAATCTAAGGCACTATAAAGAACATTCATGGCTTTGGCATTCAATGTGAGATTAGTCCTATCTTGAGCATTCATTTCAGCTCTTCTTTTTGGCCGAAGCAACCCTGTATCTGCATCAAGAAAGTTAGCTTTATGCGGTCCTTCACTCACAATAAATCATAGCTCAATATCAATAGATTGCAAAAAGATAATCATCCTTTCTTTCCATCTAACATAATTGGAGCCACTGAACATGGGAGGCCTAGTAACAGATTGCCCCTCAACAAACATAGCATGACTGGTTGTCATCTTTACTCCAAGCCGTTAGAGCTTAATCTCTAGGAGACCAAGCTCTGATACCAATTGTAAGGCCCAAAGACAACCTAAGAGGGGGGTGAATTAGGTTGATTAAAATCTTAATCAAATTTATGTAATTTTTGCTTAATAAAAATTTACCTTCTTTTCTAGTAATAATCAATCAAGTAGATTAGAAGAAGAGAGCAATATTGATTCGAAAAACAAGTATAGATAAGCAATGAGAATTTTATTAAACAAAAAGAATAAGATAGAATATCATACCGATTGTCTACCAAGCTTTCCTCAAACTTGAAGACCAATCACTAGGTTGAGCAACTTCTCTTTGATGAAAGATGATCAACTAGATGTACAATGGAGGGAACACTTCCTCCTTGCCCTAAGCCTCACTTAGTCAAGCTAAGAAGTTTTACAATCACTCAGATAACCCTCAACAAAGCTACACTAATGAAACTTTCAACCACAAGAGAAAAGCTCACATGAAATTCACTCCACTTGGAGAACAAATCTAGCTTTGGAGACTATTTTCTAGCTAAAATAACTCTTGAGATCTTGTAAACAAAGTGTGCAAAAGTCCTCTTCTGAATCAGAATCGTTTGTATTTAAAGGGAGCCAACAATGAGCTTCATTAATACTTCCAACGGATAGAAGGCAGATGAAGAGTCAGCTAGCCGTTGGAGCTGTCGGACGTCCGACGTCTTAGTCATCGTCTGATCCCATCGTCCGAAACTCAGTCAAGTTGTTGTTCGGACGTCCGATGGTATTTTATCGTCCGAGCTTCTGTGTCCGAACGTCGTCCAGAGAGTTAACAAATCTTCGTGGAATTTTTAGGACGTCCGATGAGATTGATGTGCGTCCGAAGCATGCGTCCGATCCTTCAGGACGTCCGATGTTTCCTTACGAGCGTCCGACAGAGTCTTGGCAGAGAGTCATCAACATTTTGTGGAATTTTTAGGACGTCCGACACGTTCGATGTGCGTCCGAGGAGTACGTCCGATCCATCCGGACGTCCGATGCTTCCTCACGAGCGTCCGACAGAATCTTCTTCTTAATGATCTTCATCCTTTCGGACGTCCGACCAATTCCTTAGGACGTCCGACATGAGTGTCCTGTTTTTGCTTCTTCTTTTGGTTGATTTTCAATTCTTGACATATTCGTACCTGATTCTTTGATAGGCAGAAAACACTTATATTTGAAGAGAGTTAAACAAACATTTCAAAGACCTTTGTGATCATCAAAACCAAGAATAACATATAGCTCTCGTACAATAGTAAGAAAGTCACCCTAACTCCCATTTCCCCAAAACAAGTGCATGAAGATCAATTGAAATTGCAACAGAAGTATGAGAAGTATTGTGCGAAAAAGAAAGAAAATGTGAGCGCCGGGGCAAAAAATGAGAGGAAAAAGGCTATAGATAGCTCAGCAAGTGAGGTAAAATCCAAGGAAAAACAAATGCTCCTGATAAAAGCCAAGAAAGTGAGGAAGTTAATGAGAAATGTGCAGCCGCTTCTTATGCTTGTTAGCAAAGAAGTAGTTCTGAATGTGCATGAACTTGATACTAACATACCTCTTGAGGTTGTGTCTCTTTTTCAGGAGTATGCTGACATCTTTCCCGAGGACGTGCCAAGTGGATTGCCACCACTTAGGGGCATTGAGCATCAGATTGATTTCGTCCCTGGAGTTTCATTGCCAAATCGACCAACTTACAAGAGCAACCCGAAGGAGACTAAGGAGTTGCAAAGGCAAGTGGATGAGTTGCTTGGCAAAGGATGGACACGTTAGAGTTTGAGCCTGTGTGCTGTCCCAGTCATTTTAGTGCCCAAGAAAGATGGTACGTGGAGGATGTGTACCAACTGTAGAGCTGTAAATGCTATCACGGTAAAGTATCGCCACCCTATACCTTGCTTAGATGATATGTTTGATGAGTTACATGGGGCTGTGTTCTTTACCAAAATTGATCTCAAAAGTGGGTACCATCAAATTAGGATTAAAGAGGGGATGAATGGAAACCTGCCTTCAAAACTAAGTATGGATTGTATGAATGGTTAGTGATGCCTTTTGGGCTCACTAATGCACCTAGCACTTTCATAAGATTAATGAATCATGTGCTGCGTCCATTCTTGGGAAAATTTGTGGTAGTTCACTTTGATGATATCTTAATATATAGCAAGTCTTACGATGAACACCTTGAGCATATTAGGGCGGTTATGGATGTACTTCGACGAGAGAAACTTTATACGAATCTCAAGAAGTACAATTTCTGCACTAATGAGCTTGTGTTTCTAGGGTTTGTTATAAGTGCACAGGGAATGAAGGTGGATGATCAAAAAGTGAAAGCTATTCAAGAGTGGCCAACACCAAGGTCTGTGGGTGATGTTCGAAATTTCCATAGACTTGCGGGTTGCTATAGGAGATTCGTGAGGGACTTTAGCACCATTGCTGCACCCTTGACTGAATTGATCAAGAAGAATGAGAATTTTAGCTGGGAGATTCTCAAGAAAAGGCTTTTATCGCTTTAAAGCACAAACTCACACACGCACCTGTACTTGCCTTACCTGATTTCTCTAAAACATTTGAGATCGATTGTGATGCTTCAGGTATTGGAGTTGGAGCTGTGTTGAACCAAGGTGGACAACCTATTGCCTACTTTAGTGAGAAACTCAATGGGGCTGCACTGAATTACTCAACTTATGATAAAGAGTTGTATGCCCTCATTCGAGCACTACAAGTGTGGCAGCATTACTTAAGGCCTAAGGAATTCGTGATACACACTGATCATGAGTCCCTTAAGTACCTTAAGGCCCAACACAACTTGAGCAAGAAGCATGCAAGGTGGATTGCATTCGTGGAGTCCTTTCTGTACGTTATTAAATATAAGGCTGGTAAGTCTAATGTGGTCGCGGATGCACTCTCATGAAGGTACTCTCTAATCACTTCTTTAGATGCTAAGTTATTGGAATTTGAGCTAATTAAAGAGCTCTATGCATAAGATAGTGACTTCGGTGAGCTATACATTTCTTGCAAACACACCAGGCAAGGTAAGTTCTTCATTTCCGATGGTTACTTGTTCTGTGTCAATCGGCTTTGCATCCTACATGGATCAATCCGTAAGCTTTTGGTAAGGGAATCCCATTCGGGTAGACTTATGGGGCATTTTGGGGTTGATAAAACTCTTGCCATGCTGCAGGAACATTTCTACTGGCCGCACATGAGGAGAGATGTTGCACAGGTGGTGGAGCGCTGCTTAGCGTGTAAGAGAGCTAAATCCAAAGTACACCCTTATGGCCTTTACGCCCCATTACCTATTTCTAGTGCACCATAGGTTGATATTTCTATGGATTTTATACTCGAGTTGCCTAGATCCAAGTTTGGTCATGACTCCATTTATATAGTAGTTGATAGATTCTCTAAGATGGCACACTTCATTGCTTGTCACAAAACGGATGATGCATCTCATATTGCTCACTTGTTCTTTAAAGAGATTGTGCGACTGCATGGCATTCCTAGGACGATTGTTTCTAATTGAGATGTCAAATTTCTCAGCTATTTTTGGAAGACACTCTGGTCTAAGTTAGGCACCAAATTGCTATTCTTTACTGCTAGTCACCCCCAAAGTGATGGTCAAACTGAGATGGTGAATCGTACATTAGATACCTTGTTGCATGCCATCATCAAAAAGAACTTGAAAACATGGGAAGAATGTTTACCTCATGTTGAGTTTGCTTATAATAGGGCTGTCCATTCTACTACTGGTTTCTCTCCATTTGAATGTGTTTATGGTTTTAATCTGCTAACACCTCTTGATCTAGTGCCATTACCTAGTAATGAGCGCTGGCACACTTGAATGGTAAGAAACGTGCAGATTTTGTTAAGCAACTTCATGAGAAAGTCAAGGCCAACATTGAGAGGAGAACTGCTCAATATGTCAAGCAAGGTAACAAAGGTCGCCAAAAGCTGACTTTCGAACCTGGCGATTGGGTGTGGTTGAACATGCGCAAGGAACGTTTTCCTGTGCAAAGGCGAAATAAACTACAACCATGGGGTGATGGACCTTTTCAAGTGTTGGAGCACATCAATGACAACGCTTACAAACTTGATCTTCCGGGTGAGTATGGCGTTAGTGCTACATTTAATGTCTCTGACCTGGCCCCTTTTGATGCAGATGAAGCTTTTGATTTGAGGGCAAATCCTTCTCAAGAGGAGGGGAATGATAGCATCATAGTACGTGGGCACGCCAACAATGACTCGAGTGATCGAGGGGCCGAGGACCGCGTGCAAGCTCCAAACAGGCCCATCACTAGGGCTCGTGCAAAGAGACTTCATGAGCAATTCAATGTACTTGTACAGGCCATACACAAGTCCTTTGAGGGATTCATATACCCCAGTGAAGGTGATCGAGATCTGGTATTGAGCATTGAAGCTATACCAGAGGTTTAGGGTTTTGCCAAACCTCGTTTCCCATTTCAGTAGTTTCATTTATTTACGTGTTAGTTTGATTAGCTTGAATAATTGGCTAAGTGCATGTTGCACATAGAATCGCCAAGAGTAGGATTGCTATTTTGTTCATCACTATATGTTAAGTTGGGCTGCCTAGGAAGGAAAGCCGGCATGAAGCCCTATCCATCGAGGGTTGAGGCCGTCGTTTCCTTTTCCGTTTCCTTCACTAGTTAGGGCCCATACCAGCCGCACCTTTAGCTTTACTTTCCTTATCAGATTAGGTATTACTTGTACCCTATATAAGGGGCCATAATACATCAATAAAAGGGGAGACACTTTTATCATAAATCAAGTGAGATAATTTTCTCTATAGCTTTCGAGCATCCCTTGAACAACTTAGAGTTATACTCTAGTGTTCTTGTTGGCTTATCAATTCAAGAATCACACTTGAGTTGTGGCGCCTTCTATACTTGCCTGAGGTTCACTAATTCGTTTGATTACGGGTTGAGATAATATCAACAAGTTCGTAGTCACGGGGATTAGAAAGGTCGTAGGGTTTCCGCTGCTACCTTCCTTGGTCGTCAATCACAAATCCAACAAGCGATCTTGGGTCGCGAATCTTCGTCGCCAACGAGATTCGTATCACCTATCACATGTGACCCTCCCTTTTTTCCTTCTTCGATCTTCGTCTTCATCCGAATTGAGATCCATACAAGTTCGTAATAAAACCACCTAACCTACACTAACCCAAAGAACTAAGAAACCTGCAAAGTTCTGCATCTTGTGGTGTTTTTCTTCCACCTCCAAAAGTTTCCTTTGATTCTTGCTTAAAATATGTTTATATAGAAAGAAGAATGTCTAAAAGAGTATTCTAGAGCTTCACTTTCAGCAGAAAAATCATTCCTTGATGTACCATTAAAGGTATGAAATGATTGAGCAATTTAAGCAAGTTGAGCCATCTTCTCTGAATGCAATCTTACCCAAAATCCAGCCCTAGATAGCTTACTATTCACGGCTCGATTGATGTTCTATTTTTCCTTTAAAAGATTGCATTCTGCCTTGAATTTGACCCACAATCCGGACTTAAATCTAGTCCTATATTGATATGAAAATTTCTCTATGAAGAAGGCTGAATCAAATATTATATACAAAACAAGAATGTTGTAGTTCTTTGAGTTAGCTTTTGAATAGCTCAAGAATCAAGTCATTTGGAGATCTGGATGCTAAGTATGTTCAAAATACTAATGACTGGTCAAATGACCATTTCAAAGCATCGCAACAGAAAAAGTACTTCAGTAATTTGAACTTTTGACTATAAAAACATGAGAACTAGTATTTTATGTCTTCATAAGAATTGTAATTCTTCCTCTTAACTTTAAAATAGTTCAAAAATCATCTCAATCCAAGTTTTGTAGATCAAATTAAAGTCAAAGAATCGAAATGTATTATTGCTGCCAATGCTTTTTTTCTTGTTTCTTGATTGCATTCCATCCTTTGATCCTTCCACGTCACATGAAATCCATTTTAAATCATCAACAATCATAAAGTATCTTCTCATTTTACTTCAATTGATAATTGAATCATTAAAACCTACAAAAACATGAAATTTCCACACTTAAATCCATAGAAACACAAGTTTTCTCACTTAACCACAAAATGAAAAATTCCACTAGAAACCTAGCTATTTAATCCTAAAATGACTAAAACACACTAGAAAATTAGTAATACACACTAATAAGATGTAAAATAAACACTTATCAATCCGACGCATCAGGTACTAAATTAATATAATAAAAAAGAATGATACAAGCGTTTGCTATTTTTTAATGACACATAAACTACAAATTTATCATTTTAAAAATTTTGTATTTTTTCATACATTGATACTATAAAAGTTTATTACATATTTTCTCTGTTGTGTTGACAAGCACAAACATATTTAAGAGTACTTAAAAAATAATTGTAATGCAAATTTCTTGTCGACTTTTACTCTTCTCACTCCAAGAACTACTTTGATGTAGGGCTTGAGTGGTAGAACTAACATTTTTATTTCAAATCTATTTATACCTAGCAAGAGTCACAAAAAAAATAATTGAGCTTAAATTTAGAATCCAATTTCAGAGATGGAGTTAGGACCCTAAATCAAGGGGTGCAATGTGTAACTGTCATGTCTGATGTGTTAACATTGTTTGATAGACATATTTGTTATATGTACCATTAAATCTAATTTTGTGACGTTAATTGAGCAATAAGATCATTCTACTTATTTTAGTTAGGAACATAAAAAATTTGAAAAAATCTAAAAAAAAAAAGTATTTCTTATTTGTCTTAAACACATGTTTTCCAACATTTTTTCCATCTTGCATACTTCACATAAAAAATTGCAATAGTAAAAAAAAAAATTCAAATAACTTTCAATCCAAATGGATCAATCATTATATAACTTGAAGAAGGTCCAAGAGTCTAACAAAAGATGATCATTATGATATCTAAATAGTTAAGGGGCAATGCAACTATAAAAGCTGATTGCACAATATTTAGAGGACAAATATATAATATAATTCAAAAACTTCTCAAATTTCCTAAGGTTATTTTGTGATTTTACCAAAGTTAAGGGTTGGGGGAGGGGAAATTTCCCACCCTCAACTATATGCGGCTCCGCCCAATATACAAATAATAACTGTGTCTACAAATGAAAAACTATGTCAAGATGTGTAATTTGCCCACTATACAAAAAAAAATTTGCAAGATACGTGTGTGTACCTATAAATATATATGTATATGTTTGTGTTTGTGTGTACTAATTTGTCCAACAACTTGGCCATGAACGCAGTCATAAATATTCTAAATCGTGAGATCATTGACGCATCCATGCCTAGTATCTTTACCATATATACTTGCCCTTTCCTATTTCAGATATCCCGCAATTTAATAAGCTATGGTAGACAGATGTTGATGGATCTGTCTTTTCGTAATATTCATTTGTGGATTCGCAGCCATACCACATTGTAAAAAGCTCAAGAACAAATAATTCATGGGCATCTAAATTAGATTCGATTATCAGTTCATAACCGAATCAAGTATGGGTATTAATGAGGTTCTCATGTTCTGTTTCTTCAACACTGTTTTACTCTACATCCTTTGGACTTTCATTCGGTTCCTTCGTAAGGTATGGTGGATTCCTAAATCGAATTAGAGGATCATGAGTTCCAAGGGAATCAAGGGCCCTGCTTTTAAGTTTCTTCCCTATGGAAACCCTAAAGAGATCACAAACATGAGAAGTTAATCTATGAGCAGATCTATGGAGATATCTCGCTATATCAAAATTCAGCCTCATATTCACTTATGGACAAAAATCCATGGTAAGTAGCAGTTCTGCCTTAACAAGTTTTGTACGTTTGTTTCCGAAACTCAGCAGAAAAATGCACAATTTTCTGATTTCCTGCTCCTGCACTGTAAACCAACTGAGATGAAAATAATTAACTCCTGTAAGCTGCAATAAGATTCTGTGGCATGCTAGTTCGAGTTCGATACTGATTTTTCTTCTAAAAGTTGCTTCATTCTCAATCTTGTTTTCATGGTTTTCTGTTTCGGCTGACAGGTAAGAACTATATATTAGTTGGCATGGTTCACAAGCCCAATTAATTATGATAGATGCAGAGCCAATCAAGGAATTACTAACCAACAGAGAAGGTGCTTTCCACAAAATGGATATGTAAGGCATTGCAAAGAAATTATCAAATTAATAGGTGAGGCGCTCATAACAAATGAGGGGAAAAAATGGGCAAAAGTACACAAACTGGCTAACCATTCATTCCTTGCAGAGAGCCTAAAGGTAAGCCTTCTTCTATGTTAATCACATCACGAGTCAAGAATAAGAAAGCTTGTTGTCCTATATATGAAAATGGGAAGTGAATTTGGCATATAATATTGCTCGAGTAATTCCCTATACATGATTTGCTTCTCATAAGAATAAACTTTTGCACAGAGCAAGGTACCAGAAATGACTGCTAGTGTCGAGGCGTTGCTAGAAAGCAAAGATCAGACCCTGTCTTACGCCGAAAAAAGCTCCTCTTGCCCCCTGCCTAGAGGTGGCAAAATGGGCGGGATGGGCGGGATTTGATTAGATTTGAGATAGAACCGAATTATATGGGTTTGGGTCCATCATTATTTATATGTATTTTGGGACTAACTTCGGCGAGATCACTTTGGAATGGGTTTAGATTGATCCATCCCAATACCCAAATCTATTTTTTATATATATTTTTTCGTTTAATTCATTTTTTATTTTTTATATAACTTTAATATTTTTTATTTATTAAATTTCTTTTAGTCTTATTGTGAATTTATATTTTCATGAATTCATTTTTTCATCAAATGGGGAATGTAATGCAATTTCCGGTAATGTAATATCGTTTGTAGAAAAAAAAAGTTAGCAAGTAGCAGCATTGGATAATCAAATTAGTCCACTGAGCCGGAATAACATTGGTTTACACTCTAGAATGATCAATAATTGCTTAAAAAAGACATGATATTTTGGTAAAAATGAACATATATTCTCTAGATTAAACCAAAAGAATGAACATTTTGGTTTATTCGTATATGAAGTTGACGTTTTCACTTCCTCAAAAACATGAAAACAAAAAGGCAAAGGAAATAGCTAACAAGAAAATAAACATGCAAGTGCCTTATACTCAGGATTCCCACCAAAAATTGGATTAACAAATAAAGGAAAAGATAGATATATAGCCATATTCCAACAGATATCAAGATAGCCAAGGCACTTAGGGTGTTGAATATTTATTTTCATCATTGTCCATGGATATCAGGTCTAAACTGACTGAAATGCTGGAAATTCATGTGGATAATGACTAGGAAGACTGCTAGATTATATTTGCTGGTATGACTAGAAAAACTGTTAGAGATAATTTTTGAATAAATTAAATTTTTTGGTGAGATATTTGGGCCCAATGGGTACCCAAGTATTTTCCAAAATTTCC